ATGGTGGGTGTAAAACTATGATTATCAAACGATAGGTGCGTTGTCTGTTTGAGCGTTTATCTAGCAGATACGCTGCTGAATAATAGTAGTGTAAGTGGGAATTGAATGTGAACGACGTGGCAACATGGGGACAGTTATAGTTGATGTATTACATGTGAAAAGTAAAAACAAGAATACTCACTTCTGTCCCGCATCCTCAGGTTTACGTAACATGCTAATCCGGTTTGGAGGGATAATTAATATATTCCAAAGTTACACACTTTAGGTAACTAACTACTGAAGGCCATGGGCAAGATGCAACCGCTTTAAACATATCCAAGTGGGGGAGGAAACAACGAAGTTTGGGAGAGAGTTCCAGGGTTGTCAAACCCGAAGAGAAAAATAATTCCGCCGGCATTCCAGGCGGCTAAACTGTGCACCCAATTTCAGAGTTATCTCTGAGATTGGTTTTATGGCTGAGGTCCAGCAATTGACGGCATACGTGCTTAGGATCACTCGGTAGCGGCCACTGAAAGCTCGCAGTGACTTCAGCTTTTGATGGTAGGACAGGTTTCGTAGACTCTTGACGTTTTTCGTGCCCCTGCGTTGGGGTTTCTTTAGTACTTTTATGTCTCAATTCAACCAAGGTTGCCTAGCTTGGATGGAGTATTCAACGTGAGGGCGCACTCAAGAATCGTGCCCCATGGGGAAGATGGATGGGTCAAATTTTCCAAATGCTCTCCACAGCAAGCCGACATGCTGCTTTGCTCTCTTCGTAGCTGCTTCTGCTTGTTTTGAACAGTGTAGGTCACTTTGAATGAGCCCACCAAGGTCGCGTTCTTGGGAAATGTTCTGCAACATATGTGACCCAAGCCTATACACGCAGTCACGTCTATGGCGCAATTGAACAGCGTGACATTCTTCCACATTGAACGGTAGGGTATTCAAAACTGATTAGGATGGAATCGTGTTGAAGTCATACTGGAGCTTTTCGTGGTCGTTCTGTTCTTTGAACGCTCGCCAGAACTTGATATCATCCGCGAATAGTAAAAAATCGGAAGTAATTTCCTTCGCCAGATCGTTTATGAAAATCAAGAATAGACGGAGCCCGGGCACCGAGCCTTGTGGTACGCTGCACTCCACCTTAATTGCATCTGACAAGGATTCTCGTACTCTCACTTCCAACCGACGTTCGTGAAGGAAATTGTCTATCCAACGCAACTGTGGGTCACTAACGTCATAGAGCTGAAGTTTATGGAGGAGAATTCGGTGGTCTACGCGATCAAATGCTTTTGAGTAATCCAGATAAATGACATCAACTCCTGCCCCACCATCAACTGATTCAGTCTAGCTGTTGCGTGCAATTAACAAATTCTTAGTGCAAAAGTGCTTTGGTCAGAAGCCATGTTGCTCTGTTGCTATCATCTTATGATTTTCCAGGTAATGCATGAGTGTATCGGCGATGATAGACTCCATAACCTTGGAAAACACAGGGAGTAACGTTATGGGACGGTAATTGGTTGGGTCAGTGCGGCCATCTCCCTTATGAATAGGAGTGATTATCCCATGTTTCCATATTGTTGGAATATGGTTCTCATCCATACAGTGCTGATAAAATATAGCTAGAGGTTCCGCCAGATCACTGGCTGCTGCCTGTAAAGCCTTCGGTCGAATGTTATCCATACCAGGAGAGCTGTAGATACGCAGACAACAGTTTATTTGAGATACTTTCTGCAGTAAAAGTAATATTGGGTAAAGCTTATGGTGGGACAATAGAAATAGGATTAACCGTCTGGCCTGAAACTCTCTGGAACCTTTGTTAGTAATGGAACTGTAAGAGATCGGCTGCTTCAGTTGATGGTCGCCTGCATCCGTCAGTCGTGATTAGTGCTGGAATTTCGCGTTGCAGCTTACGAAGGTCATTAACGTGCCCGTATAAGAGTTTGCGGTTCGTGCAGAATCTCTTTATTAGCTCCTGCTGATGCGTCAGCTTGTCCTCGCGGATCAAACTGGCACAGAAGTTACGCTGTATCACATAGACAGTCCAGGCTTTGGAATTCGGGGAGTCCTTGTAAGCTCTCCATGTTAAGCATCTGAAGGACATGCATTTGCGTGTTCTGCTCCCTCAAAATGTGGGGGTGATGGTAGACAATGACACCTGAAGTGTGTTACTTATGTCCAGTTTCTTCCGTTGTTTTGTTTTGTTTGCTGTCACTGTAGAAAACCACCCCGCATCACACAGATAAGATGTCGGAGATTGCAACAGAGATTTTTAAGTGCTGTGGTAGCAATCTGAGTGCAGCGCGCCATGGCTTTAATTCAGAACACCGGCAGAGTTTTTGTCTCGAACATAGTTTTAAGGCCGTCGTCATCTGCAATCTCAAGGAGTAGATATTCTTCTTGCACACACATGCTAGAATTGCCTGGTGGGTTGCGGATCCATTCATTACCATTTCGTGGCTCTTTTATGGTTTGGAAGTAGCTCTCGAACTCTTTTAAAAGCAAAGACAAGTGACCGTGAGCCGCAACAACCGGGACAAAACCACCCTACGGAACGCCCATATTTACAAGAGAAGCTGGGTAGACGAATGGTCACGGGACACAGATTGAGAGGGCCAATTCAAAAGTCACTTGCTAATTAATCACAAATCGACGACCAAACCAGCGGATTACGTTTGACCCTGCAGCGCACTGAGGAAGTCACCTCGCGTGGTGATGAAACGTCTGCATACCAATTACAAAGCTCGGCGAACAATTGAACCCAAGAACAACTAGGAGAATGTATGTTCGGGGTCAGTCCCGCGTAATATCGTCGCTAATGTTTGAAACATATCAAAAATGCTTCTGATCACGCGCCGTCCTCACAACTACAGCTTAGTTTTAAATGCAGCTGCTTTGTCTGCCAACTTGAAACAGTTTTTATTTGCCCCTGAAGGGACTGATTGAGTTCATTGAGCAGGCTGAATATGTCACACCAATAAGCCATTTTTGCGACCCATACTTTGTCACTGAAACGTGCTCCTATAGCGCGATGATCGTGCGCTATATATTCGGCACGAAACTGGACGGCCAACCAAAGGAAACGTGTAGAACACACAAAAGTAAGATAGGGAAAATGTTTATTGAACGGGAGAAGAGTTAGCTAATGCTAAAATAAGGAACCGGAAGAGAGCTAGCTAGGGAGGATGTAGTTGGGCGTCGAGTGGGTGGACGGAGCGTCGTTCGCGGTCGAGTCGCGCGCCAAGTGCGGAGATCGTATTCGTGTTTCAAACAAACGGGAACAACGTTCCGACATGCAAACCGCCTAATTTCCCAATACATAAGAAAGGTATAATTTAAAAATATTTTAGGATAGTTTACTGTCATACGAAGGAATTTCCAGGTCACTACACTCCCATCGGTGACTTCTTTTCTGAGGGAAATCTTGCAATGACTCTCGTAATTCATACACTTTGGTTAGCGTGTTTCCTCTCGATAACCATTTCATTCCGGCATACAAGAGAAGGGATCTGGGCTCTGCGTCCATTTCCTCACAAAGCTGCTTAAACAGGCATGAGTTAAGGGCGTATGTTTTGATGTGGTTAATAACTTCAACGACGTCAGTGAATACGCTGTTAATTCCGGTGACATTTTTAGGTTTGTCAGAATTTTTCTCTGAAGGATGCAATGTGTAGATTCACTCTCAGTTGCAAACTCTCTACTCCGAACAGTGGTCTTCTCATGACAGTAGCTACATCATGCATATACTGACAGAAAGACCATTTTAATTGTCCTTATATATAACCATCCAGTGACTTGAGCAGTTCTCTTCCTGTGGTGTTGGTTGGCGAGGCTAGTGCAAATAACAAATTTCCATGCGCATCGTCCTAATAACGACATAGAACATAAACAAGTAGTATTGTTTTGTTGTCAATATCTGTAGATTCGTCAACCTGGAGTGCATTCCACGGTGATATAGTAATCCTCTCCAACAATCGTATCTCAAAGTCTTCGGCTATTTCCTAAATTCACCTAGTCACGATTTTAGTCAATAAAGGCACTTGCTCTACCTTTTTAACAACAAGCTCTCCTAGAAGTTCATGGCAAATTTCTTTAGTGGAGGGCAAGACCAAATCTTCAACGGTAGTGAATGGCTTTTGAGCTTTAGCCATACGGTCAGCCACCAGATATGATGCTCTCAGACCATTCTCCTTTATCGATGTGGTGCCTCTCAGATAGTTTTTCTGTTCCCGGTTTCATTTCTATCAAAATACTATTGGGGGTTGTCTTATAATCCAGGGTACTAGGCGTTCATGTGGCGAATCCCTTTTCAAGGTTTCATTGTCACATTAGAGAGCCGGTTAGCGCAAACTATGCAAAGCGGGGCTGGTGTGTGGGAATCACCTGTTTCGAAAATGACCAAAGTGGGGAAAAAAATGAAAGGGTTTGAAAGGTTGTTTCAGAACTGTCACATCCGGAGGGAGAAATAACTTCGTCGTCAATCTAGATGACTGTGAACACTGTGTTCATTGCAAGTAACTGCCCCTGAGATTATGTTTGGGGCCATTTTAGTAGGTGGCCGCTTGCGTGACTAGCCTCGCTAAGTATTTGATATAACAGTATAAAACCTCTGAGTAGCCGCCGTTAGCGTCCTATGAATGCGACGATTCTCCAGTCGTTTCTGGTACGGAAAATGGCATGTCTTTTGTATTTTTGATTGCCAGATATTGTGGGGTCTCCAGTTCGGCTAGGTCACGTTTTAGCTAAGACAACTCAGCCTGTATAGCGCACTCGACTTGGGGACACACCTAGGCATTGAGAACCATAAAAGATGGATAAATCCATACTTTCGAGTGTCCTTCGAAAGTGACCAACATATTGGTTATCACTTATTAAATCGGGCTCAGACTGCTCGGAATAATCGAGTCGTTCCATGGTTGGTGCGCTCGAAAGAAGTTTTTGCGCTCAAACTAGTTTTACTATGTATTAGATCAGTTTCTTGTCATACAGGAATCTACTTCTTTAACATTTTTCCATTTCAGAAGGATTGCCCATCGGGTTTGCTAAATCACGCAACCTTTTTAAACATGTATACACAATTCTTTCCGGATGGAAAGGCTCGGGCGTTTTATGACCACCTGTTCAGGACTTTTGATCAGGATGCCAGTGGGAACATCGATTTCAGTGAATTCTTAACGGTAAGTTTCCTTTTAAATGTCCTCTCAGTTAGTTTAGATGAACCAACATTTGCTCATATTGATTACATCTAAGGGTCAACCTTTCCACAACTTTCGAGCTTGTTTTTTGCCAACTATCATCCTAATTACTTGCGCAGCTTGTGTGTCACATCCGTAATTTTTTCAATATTCACGGAACTCTTTATTGGTATTACTTCTGTTATTCCGCCTAAACTTGTAGACCACAGTGTCCTCTAGTTCGCCTACTAAACTGCATTCCCATATGGTGAATCCCAATCCTCACTCACTGAGGGTGACCATATGCTGGTTCGTTGATCACCTACAAAACTTCGTGTTCACAAGCTGTGCATGGGTTGCGGTATGTCGTTTCAAGCGCGAGTGCAATTCACTTCAAAGTTACCCTCCACAAAACAGACGGTATCTGGAGCAGCTGCATCTTCAATGATTCCAGTTTGTAATATTGCACCCATTGACCAGATCCGTGCACGGTTGCATCCATCAGGTATAGATAGTCCAGTGTGACTCAGTGGATTAGGGGAAGATGTTCCAACTGACGTAACTAAGCACCGGAGTTCGAATCGCATTGCTTCTCTCCTTGTCTGATCACTGCTGCCATGCACGGTAGCTGTCGTGGAGTTGGAGTAGGCGACACACAATAGCCATCCTTGTGTTAACCTCTTCTGTCAGCCGCGAGTATCGCAGGGTTTTCTCGCAGCTGCCTCTAAATCAAATGGTCCTCCACATGTTGGGAAAAGAGCTGGAATGATGTTTCGAATTGCTGTGCGCATCTTACAAGTCGCTCAGGACCCGAACCCATGACCACTGCTGGCTTGTACGACTGGCTAGAATTTATGGCTCAATGGCACAATCTGCTGAATGGAAAGGCAAGCGGCTAGTGATCACAGGTCCGAATCCGGGTGCATCCGGTACTTGCCACTACTGATGATGCCCAGCAGGTTGAAACTGCGGTCTAGTGCTTTTCCGGAGATGTAGCGAAATATGTGATTTGGAAGCTACCGCGAAGAAGCTCCTAACCATTCACATCAAAACCCCATACTCGGGGGGTATACCTAGTGAATTTGGCTGCAGTAATACAACCAGTCATATGGAGCATCGGTGTAGAATGTACAAGAGCACTATAAAGCACATTTAGTTTGCATTACATTTATTCCATGGGTGTCATTTTCAAACACTGCTTTGTTTTTGCCCTCTTCTATCTAGCACTCGCCGACCAGTCATGTGGTCTCGAAATTGATTGGTTGCAGTTCGAACGGTTATCGATTTAATTACACTGCGCGTTTGTGCGGACAGTTTTCTCCATACGTATTTTCCGGTGCTGCTCTGGTCTGCTGCTTTTTCGGGATACAACGATGGGTACCGTTGACAATCACCTTGTAATCATGTTCATATGTTCCACTTAGTAAACTAAAAGCTTGCCAATCGTTTGCATTAGTTGCAGGTAGTTACAGCTAATGCATTCACTAGTTTTGTAACATAAATCCATATTTGAAAAATTGACCGTGCCTTGTCGAATTACAAAAGTAGACTCTGCATCATGGTTGAATCTGTATGGCCATCTAATAATAATCAGGAGCAGGGTCTTTAATCGAGCGGTGATATTAGAATAGTATAGGTAGAAATTCGTCACATCTAGACTCACTCAGACAGCCATCAAACGCCCGGAGAAGCCCTGTACGCGCATTTCATGCTTTCGGGAATACGAACGCAGTCGAAAACAACGGACTATATTCTGGTTGAGGGCAATGATGCGAATGGCAGTGAGCCTGGGCGCCGTAACTCTTCTGGAAGACGTGTGGGAAAAAATAAGCAAGAAACATAAAGGCCTAATCGATCGGGATCAACATTGTGGTTAGAAGATTACAAGGATCTTTGGGGTAGCTACAAATCACGCCGATAAAAATTCCCTGTGCTTAATCCACTAACTTGTATATCTAGAGCTTTGCCCTTGTTAAATTTTTTGTCGGTTCTATGTAGCTGTTACCTAGTCAGTTAACACTGTTCCCTGCACCCTCTAAATTTTCCACGTGGTTTGCATGTGATGGAACTACTCGTCATATCAGTGACTTCTTGTCAATATTTTATTGCTGAAGCCCTTCATTTCCATACGCTTTGTTAACCAATGAACTTCTACTTTGATACTCCGTATACCATAGATCTCGCCTAATTACTGTCACCCGGACAGAAACTAAATGTATGGTTTCACAACGCACAAAATTATGTCCACTAGGTTCTTATTGTGCCTAATCAACAATTGGCTATCACTCACGAAGAAGTTTCCTTGTTTACGTCAAGCCTTGACACACGTTGAGCAGACAGCAACGTTCAGTTAATGGACAGGGCTGACCCTGTGTATTGAAAGCTTTGATAATGTGCCTAGTCGTCAAAACCCATGAATGTATCTTAACCGGTGTGCCATTGTACTACTCAGTTTCTGGTGTGCGGTATTAGTGGCTTAACCAGTTACGAACCTGGCAGTTACTTCCTTCCTGACTGAAAACTGAACTATTTTGTTGCGTCACAGCGAGGAGTCGCGTTGTCGATTCGTAAGATGTGAGTAAGCACAGCACTTAGTTATTTGTAAGTAGTAGGGGGATTTATTAAGTTTTTGTGTAGATTCGTCGCAGTTAGACACACACAGACAGCCACCCACACATTCGGGAAAGCGCTAGCTGGCCGTTTCGTCCTACTGGGAACTCGTCGCTAGCGCGCACCCGCCGAATCCTGCCGGATAGGCAAACCTACGACCTTACACTTGCGAGTCAGCGATTTATGTCACTGAGCCATGGGCGACGGCAGCGGACTGCCGTGATACCTAACTGCGATATAGCGCGGCTCATCCTCCATTGTCTTGCATGTTGTGAAGATGCTCTGGGGCCAGAGCTGTTGAGGTGCATAGTAAGTGACTGAACTTCACACCTATACCCATGGTAGCCTTCAGGTGACAAATAATTGGTTTAAACACATCTGGCTTATTGCGACCGCCTCAGCAAACCGAATGAAGCGTGGATTGGCGTGGATCAACACAACTGTGAACTCTGAGGTAAGCTCTATCCGGTGACCCGAAACCAATAGGTGCTTACCTATCGACGGCCTACCCGAGCACCGGGGTTGAGTGGGATAGGGGGTTTATGTGTGTTCGTGCTGGAGGAAGCAGGCGATGTATACAAGCACAGAATTGACAGGGATAGGAAATTTGGGTGACTTCAAACTGAACCTATCTCGGCACCTGCTCCTTTATTTGGCCAGCCGAACAACCTCCTCGTGCTGTCAGCTGGGTGATTCGGGTTTACCCGTTCAAGAAAATAGTTACGCTGCAGTGTTCCAGGACTTGGTGGGTTTTCGCGTGGCAAGCCTTCTCCCTATAAAAAGCCACAAATATCTGCTTATCAGCACTGGGAGGTGGCGGACGTGACTCGCCACAAACTAAACTCACTACCATGTGGATATCCGGAAAATGTTATCCAACGCACGGACATCAACCGGTTACTCTCACATTCCTGACGATTATCAACAGTCGAAAATGCTGCGGCACATTCACAAGCACACGCTACATAGCTACATTCATGGTTGGCCTTATCCGGTTTCGGATTAGCCTGTCACTGTGACCAGCAACCGAACGCCTACGCCTACAGAGGGACCATGGGTGGCATGCGCTGCACCACCCACAACTCCAACCACACACCTCAAATCCACTGTAAACCCGAAGGAATAGGACCGGGAGGCATGTGGATGGGAGCGACATTTCATCAACGGAGTCGGCCCACACTCTTTCACCGGCAAACACAAGCACGCTGTAGTTGGGAGTCAATCGCACACAAGGCGGTGGGTGGACCGTAGTCCGTTCCACACTGAGTGCATGGAACCACCCTTTGATCCTAACACCGCCACAAGGACCATGCACTCCGTCCCCTCTAACAACGACCAACTGTCTCCTAGAGCCAGTATGGACGAGATGGTGAGTGACAGACACGTAGACACCTTGTCAACATGTACATCAAGCGCAGCCACACCGGGGATATCAAGCAACAGTCAATCACTTGAAACGACAAGATGAAGTAAAATGAATCGGATAATGCATACAGGTACGGTGGCATAACTCTTCACTAAATGGGCGTATAAAATAAATTAGTCTTGAACGAATGCGCGATAACTTCAAGAGGTCAGAAAATATATTTTGTGGAAATGCCACAGAGGCTACATTCATACACAATGATTTGGCGGCGTCCGTATCTGGATTTGCCTGTCACACAATTACCTACGTACATACACCCATATGCACTCACTGTCATGCCAAACATGTATTTTTGTACCTTTGATCACAATCTGTTGGCTTAACATGATCATGCCTGTAATGATGTGCCACGCATTGTCGAAAATAAAAGTTTTTTTTATTCATTTATTATAAATTCTGCCCATGTAGCTGTAGCCGCTGTCACCCACAAAATGGTATACACAGTGTAAGCTGGCGCCATAAAATTCCGTCTTGGCGTAGTTGCGTGGGCGTTTGAGTATCATTTCCGCGGTGAGACATCACTCAGCGCACCTACTTTACCGCATGAGGTCAAATAAGTTCCCAGCCTGTCGTGGTGTGCAGTGTTTTTGGGCGGTGGGTAACATCAACTATTCATATGCCTCATCATATATGATCCCAGCGATCGAAATGACTCCGGTTCACTTCAGTGTGAATTGCGGTCCACGTTCAGTTTACGCGTTTCAATCGATTCGCACATAAGGAGTGTTTCGAAATGACCCACTAATCAGTCCTTAACCCTATGACAATCGCTGCTCGTCATGATCCGGTGGCTTAGTGGCGGAGGTTTCGATTCACATTTCAGCAGTCCCAGATTGGAATCGCAACCTGCTATCTTTGACCGATTAGTGTAAACAGGCATGAGCCTGTTGAGGAATTAAGTGGTTACGAGTGGGCAACGTCTAGCAAGCATTAAGCCATATCACTTTCGACTGACTCCAAGGAGCTT